GAAAAATATGTGAAAACATGCACAAAGAACTGTTACACTTATTCCTCAGCAAAACAACCAAATTATCCCCCCTAATTACCCTAACTCTGCATTTCAAAATCCTAATTTTTAAAATAACCCTATTAGAAACTTTGGGTTCATGGAGAATTGATGCCTTTATACCCAAAAACACTATTGTAATTAATTCCCTTTATTTTTCAAAATCACATTGTAACCCTAGTTATCAATGATCCACGTTTTTGGGGCTTAGGGTTTGAGAAATACACATCCAACAACCAAACACACTAAGTCATCATATTTACAATCCTATTTTTGCATTTCAAACAATAATTTCTAGGAATTGTATAATGAAAGACCTAGGGTTTATAGAATATAGGGAGAATGAGAGAAAACAACCTAACCAACAAGAAAAGAAGCAAAGAACACTTACCCTTGACTCATTGTGCAGATTATTGAGTGAAAAAAGAGTGAAAGTTGAGTGATTTGTGATAGAAGAGAGAGTTTGAGAGCAATGGGGAAGAAGGAGCATTTTATAATTCAAAAATGACCCTCTTCTTTACAATTTAAAAACTGTGTCACAACACTCTCGCTACAGCGACAAGCTCTCACTGTAGCGACAAGGTGACAGTTTACCCCTCTTTTCTTCAGGTTGCTCCGCTACAGCGAGGGATTTCTTATTGTAGCGACAAAACAACAGTTTCAATGATTTTTCAAAGGGCTCTCTCGTTATAGTGAGGAGTCTCTCGCTGTAGCAAAAATATCAAAAAAATATGTACAGTTTTGTTTGGTCTTTTAGCTGTAGCGAGAGGGTTCTCGCTACAGCGACAGTGTACTTGCTACAGCAAGAACTCTTTCGCTGTAGCGACAAGCTCACAGTTTATGGTCTTTTTTTTGCTCTCCTCTCGCTGTAGTGAGAAACACACAGAATACTTTCAAGACTTATGTTAATACTCTTCTAACCTTACTATTCTAAAACTTCTAAACCCAAATATAAAACTCCTCTTCTCTGCACTGCCCTTCTATTATGCTGAACTTGCCTATCAGTGGATGAAAAAGCATTAATTATTCTTGTGGCTTGTTCTGCATCTACTGCCATCATTGTTCCACCAACAGCAGCGTCCAAAATCATTTTAGTGTTAGGCCAAAGACCATTGCAAAATATATTCAACTGATTTACATCTTCAAACCCATGGTTAGGATATTTCCTAAGCAAAGACTGAAAATGCTATCAAGCTTCATAGAATGCTTCATCCTGACCTTGTTTGAAAGTAGAGATATCAAATTTTGCACTAACGTACTTGTAAGGTGGAAAAAATCTAGTAAGAAATTTCCTTTCCACATCACTCTAGCTTGTTAGACTCTAATTTGGATGTGATTTTAACCATTCTTTTGCTTCCTCAATCATAGAAAATGGAAATAACATCAAATATGATGCCTCCTCCTCATCATCATCATAAAATCTCATAGTGGATACCAACTCATAAAAAGTATCAAGATGGGCATATGGGTCTTGATGGTCCTTTCTTGAGAACTAATGTGAATTAATCAAATTCAGGAAAGTAGACTTAATTTCTACAGCCCTTGGATTGGGTGGAACCACTATATTTGAATAGTGTCTTGGATCTTGATGCATGGCATAATCACCAAGAGTTCTTCTTGGTGGTGGATTTGCTCTTGGTCATCCATTCCCTTCATAATTTTATCATTCTCATTGCCACTTTGATTATTTTTTCCAGGATCAGCCATTTCTTCCTTCTCTAAATCTGAGTGAATTTTCAGTGGTTGTGAAGTTGAAAATACTCCTTGTTGTGCTTGTTTCTTTTTCTTCTTTGTTGCACTATTATTTCTTCTAGATGTTCTTTTATTCTCTGGATCAAACAACAACTAATCTGCAGGAGCTTTTCCTAGCAATATCATAAACAAGGAATTTGAAACAAGATTAGCAACAGAATAATTAGATAAACGAAAATCAAATAAAACTAATTACAATACTCAACTAATTATACTTAAAAACTAATACAATTTGCACATTGCTCCTCGGTAACGGTACCAAAAACTTGTTGAGACTTTTCCTTCAAACACAGCAAGTGTATCGGATTTGTTGCAAGTAATAACTAGTAGAGTACCGGAGTGTCGTCCTCAAAGAGCAATTCAAACGTATTAATTATTAAGATAAAAATTAATTGAGCTTATATATAACAGAATTTATTGATTATTTTCATGAATTGTTGAATAACAATTAAAATGTAAAACAATAATATAAAATATAGTAAAATTCAAGTTTAAGAGACTGGGATTGAATGTCATCTATCTCCCTCTCTGTATTCTAGTAATTTAATGATAAATATAGCAACCATTTCTAGCAAATTTGATACAAAATACAAAAGTCATATATTTCAATTCATTGAAAATATATTTCTAAGATAATTTCCTAAATATTGATTCCTCAAACAGTTAACAAACTATTCAGCATTAAAATCAGGATTTAAAAGCAATTAATAACTTGAAATCTATTCCTAGAGTAACAAGTTTTTGAGTAATCTCAATCAGATCTAAATCTAAGTAATATTTTTTCAAATATAACTCAAATCTGAGCTTCAGAGACCATTAAATAGACAGATTCAACCATTAACATGGATTGAAATCACCAAATCAATAGAAATAAAGAAGAAATAATTATATTTATATAAATTATTGAGAATACATCAAGTTTGAAAATTTAAATTTAATCCTATACAAATTCTAGCTGCTCATGGCAACCATAGTAACAAGAATTGAGATACAAACAAAGTAGAACATCAAAATCCGAATATTGCTACTCTTTTCCTATACTCTGCGCCACTCTCCCTCTCTAGAAATGCAAATGAAACAGTAACTTCTTTCAAAAATATAAAAGTCATCTTTTATACTGGTCTGGACGAACTTCTCTCGCTACAACAACATTTCCTCGCTGTAGCAAGACATGGAGATAGAAATTAGGTCATTTTGTTTGTCTCTCGCTGCAGCGATAGTTCCTTCTATAGCGACACAAGGAACTCTCACAACAACGACACTCTCTCGCTATAGTGAGAGAAGCACAGAATCATCCTATTCACAATTAAGCATTCTCGTTGCAGCGAAGGTGACACTCTCGCTGCAGCGACAAACCTGTAGAAGCTAACTTTTTCTGCAACTTCATGCTTTATATGCTTTTTTTTTACTTTTTCCAATTTTCTTCAACTTTAAATGATGTCTCTCATTTGATTCCAACTACAAAATAGATCAAAAAGGGAATCAAAACACTAACAATTACATTCTTTTCCTGAAATATACAAGTATTTGTAAAAGTTTCAAGTTTAGGAAAAATTTAACAAAATAATCCAAACTTTTAACATTAAAAATGCTCAATTCATCATTTCAAATCACTTATTTTATACATTTATCAAAGACCAATGTGAATTAAAATAAATAAATAACTCATAAATAAATTAGCAAATTGACCTATTATAACATATTTTGAAAATTAGAGTATTTATAATTTAATTTTTAATAAATTTTATAGATTTATAATTTCAATCTCTTAAATATTTAAAATAAATCTTTTAACATGTTGTTTTGAAGGCAACTAAATTTTAAAAATATAATCATTCATTCATATGAAACATAATTATATCCTTTCAAACTCACTCTCATTTTTGTTTTTGAGGTAAGTTCAAGAATTTCTTCTATGCTCCTAACAATTAATTTGACGATAGATTGAGTAACTGTAGTTGGAATTGATGTGATAGAAGTCAGAGAAAAGATATCTAAGGCAAGAGATCAAATAAAATTAAGTAGTCCTCACTTGAAATATTGTCATAGAAGTTTTATTGAATTTCTCCTTATTTTTCCTTCTTAATAGTATGCAAACCTGTTTCTAAATCTACCTTAAACCCTAAATCTAAATAAGCATACTCTCTTTGCATTGTTATACTTTGAATTATGATTTTTGTAAGTAAAACCAATTAAATTTAAAAATATCATATACATATCCCAATTATCTTAGAAATTAACAATTTGGTGTAATCAGAATAAAAATAATGACTAAAGAGATGTGGTTCAAAATAAAAAAAATGCAAAGAATTTATTCACTATATAATTTTCACTTAAATCACACATTATTCGCTTAAGTGAATTATAGACAGTGATGAACTAACAAATTTCATCAAAACTCGTTTAAGTCAAATACCTTCACTAAAGCAAATTAAAAATAATGATGAATCTAAAAATTTTGTCAAAATTCACTTAAGCCGATATAATTTAGCTTTAGCCAAAAGTATTTTGCTTAAGAGAAGAAATTACCACTTAAGTGAAATATGTGAGTCTTTTTTTTCCTTTATAATTTTCACTTAAGCTAGAGAAAAATGACATAAGCGAAAATTGCAAAAATTGTAGGATGCAAAAGTGACTATTGTATAAGTGGGGCATGAAAAAGATCTAAAAAGACATTAAACAATTCATCAATTCAAAAACCTATTTTCATGATGAATTGAGATTGTGAGTATAGATGCAAAAATTTTAATTTTAAAAATTATTAACTTCATATATAAAATTTGTAGAAAATATTTAATATTTTATTGATTCAAAAGTTTAATATTTTTTATTATAAATTGAAACTTAATGAATGCATGTGAAGATCTAAATTGTTTATATTTTTTTAAAATATATTTAACAGTTTAAAAATAGTCACTAACTTACGATTCACTTAATTTACTAACTCACGTTAACGTGAGCTTATAATTTTTTTTAATATTTAAAGATTAATATGTATTTATGTCTTTTTTAAATAAGTGACTAACTTTATTATTTATTAATATAAAATTAACTGTAATAATTATTTTAAGTGTAAGAGAGTATAAATTTTTTTTTATTTATATATATATATATATAATTGTTTTAAAAAGATTGGGCCCTGGTCCATGAGATTCTGAAAAGGGCAAGTTGGGCTGAAAAAGAGAAATGTAGAAGGGCCCGTTGGGTAACAACCACATGTTATTACGTGGAAAGAACATAATCTCATCCTCATCCCAATTCCCAAACGCATCGTTCAGCGAAAATGGCTCAGTGCATAAGCAATACATTTATGCAAGGAAAACCTCTGGTTCCAGTTCCAACCAAAAACGTAAACAATTGATTGGCAATTGCATATAACATTGTGAATTCGAGAGACTATTGAATTAACAAAAATGTGTTGTGTTGTGCTGTGTGGCAGGTGAGGAGAGTGGGTAAGTGTGTGGTGCGGTGCAGGAAGAAGGATATACACCCGCAGTACTACCAGGAAGCGAAGGTGTACTGTAATGGGGAACATGTGATGACGACGGGTGGGACCCAGAAGGAGTACGTGGTAGACGTGTGGTCGGGGAACCACCCTTTCTACCTCGGAAACCGTTCATCGGCTATGGTGAGTGATGATCAGGTCGAGAAGTTCCGCAAGAAGTTCGGTGAGCTTTCGCAGATTATGGAAATTCCTGTCCTCAAAGGAGAGATTGTTATTCCCTCCAGACGCAAGGGAATTGGTAAAGGAGGCAAGAAAAAGTAGTTTATCTATTTCGTCTGTGTTCTGGGTAAGTGTTGTTTTTGTCTTGTCATGAGAATTTGTGAAATTGTAGACTGACTGTGTCATGTTTGTTACTATGCCGCTGTGGATTTTATTTTGAGTATTTGGTTTCGTGATTGTGTTAATTTTTTTAGACTCAGAAAACAGAACATTTGGACTAGTTTATTTTATATTAAAAAAAAAAAGGATGGGGGTAATCACAAAATTGGATAACAGTATTCGAAGATTGACATTTGTAGAGAAACTTGTGGTTGTGGACGATGCCTGCATGAACATTTTTAGTGATCTGAGGTGGGGAACTTTTATGTATATCCTTAGATTTGTATAATGAATAAAATTTAGGTGCTTTTGGTGATATACTTCGATCAGGATTAGAGCTTTACTTAGGTAATTCACGAAATAAAGACTATGAAACTTTAATTTTTATTGGAGAATGACATAAAAAGTACCTGTGACATCACACTTAATTTGAATGCTTCTGAGCATGGGTTTTTTTTTTTTTTTGTCTAAATTAGCTAATGTAATGTGCAAACTAATTGGGGAAGATAAAACCATCAACGTGGTTGTAGCTTCAAGCTCGTTTATCTAGCTGGTAGTTATATTTGTACGTGTGCCTATGAGTACTGGTTTCAAGGGTAAAGAACCAGTAGTCCTCCCATTCTAAAATATTTGTTACTTTAGAGTGATGCTATAAGACCTTTTCTTAGAGGAAGAAATAAAAGAGCTCGATTACAATTTTACATGTCAATAGTAATATGTATGACATAATTCATATTGCACCTGATGAAAATATACCGTTCAGTTGTGAATGCAAATTTTCTTTTCGAAGAGACATGTTTTTCAGTTACTACAGATTGCCCGAGGTTTGATGCTCATGATTTTGAGCTTCTCTGTAGAAAATTGGTATATTTCCTTTAGTAAAGAAAAAGTCAACTTTTAGGAATATTATTAACAAAGTTGCTAGTACATTGAAGATCAAACAGTGGCTTCAATAAATAGAGAAAGTTGCGAGATCTTGTTTGATTGAAAAAGCGATGTCTGCCATCAGGAAATTTAGCGAAAAGAGGACTTAAAATATCTAACAAGACAATGCAAGTCAAATATTGATCATAGTGACGATGCATTTTTCCAAGTTGCTACACAACAAAACTGATATTCATTGGATGAATCAGTGTACAATCTCTATTGATTTGCATGATTTTAGATCTTGGGTTTTCTTATTGCTATTCAATCCTTACGATATAAGAAGATACCTAAATCAGTTGATGAACCCATTAATGTTGTTGTAAACTCGTTCAAAATTTTTTATACAGTGAAGTCCAGTCATGTATTTCTATGATTGTAATTGTGCATGATAGAAATCATGAGAGAAAAACCATCCTATGAATATAAAACTCCACATGTTAGCAAAGCAATTTTAGAACCTAAATTTAACCATCCTACTCAACTGCAATGTGATCCTGCACTGGTACAGATTCATAAATTATTTAAGCTAGAAGAGACAAGTTGCAATTAGGTGACAATTGCAATGTTACCTTTGTCGTTTTCCTTATAAAGTATAACCGCGATTTTTCTTTACTACAATTTCTTATCTTTTTAAGCTTGTAGATTACAAATTCTTTTTTTTTCTAATAAAAAAACTACTGCGTGAATGATATAAAAACACTATTTAGCATTTTAAAAAGACTAACCATAACTTTATTTACTCATTCTACAAGTAGTTTAACACGAACGAAATCCTAATTGCATTCTAATAATTGAACCAAAGTAAGAGACAACGTTATTGCTCCAAATATTTTAAACTGGTTTAGTAGTTTGTAAAATCCACAAGTGTTTTGTTTTAAAATGTATATACATATAGTTTAATAATTAAAAAAATTATAAATATGAAACATTAAAATGTTATAAGATCAAAAGACGTAAAAATTAAGAACTTTGCATGATTATAAAGCTAATTAAAATATAATATATACTAATAAGAATTAAATCAATCATGATGTATATTTTGGCAAAAGTATAATTTGTATATATAGTATTGTGTTGAAAATATTTAAATGGAAAAAAGTATACATATTTTATATATAAATAATATTGTGATAGATAAAAAAAAGAGTAAAAAATACTTTAATATTAAAAATAAATTTGTTATAATTAATTGAAGAAATAACTGTAGGGTAGAATATTTGAGAATAATATAAATTTAAAAAAAACATGAATAAAAGTGATGGATTTTATAATTTCTATTTGAGAACATTTTTTTCACAAAATTACTGCAAATTATATATTGAGTATTATGAATATTTTAAACGTAAATATTAGTATTTATGAAAAATTTGAAGTCTACATAAGCTAACGAGAATTTTATAAATTTAAAAGTTTATATAAAGTAAGAGAAAAATTTTATAAATATAAAAAGATATATATATGAAAAAATTTAAAAATTTATATAAACTAATAAGAAAAAATTTAATAATAACTTTGATCTTCAAAATTTAGAATAAAATTAATAAAAAAGTGAGTAAAAAATAAAATAAAAATTTAAGCATAATTTTTAATCTATTTTAATAATAAAATACACAGTTTACTACTTTGTTAATGTTAATAAGCATATTACGCCTGCTAAAAATCAAAGATGAGAGGGAAAGTTTCAATTTTAGTGATATATACCCCAATTACAATAACCCTGAAAAGGTTTGCAAGATAAACTTTCACCTTCTTTTGAGAACTTACTCAAGTCAAACCCAAGATTTGCTTGAGCATTTTTCAAGTCAAACGGGACTATTGTGTTTTTCTTCCATGTTAGGCATTATACGATAATCTATCAAGGTTTAGAGTCTATATCTCTCTCGTTTTCTTTATAAGAAATATGCATAGGCTTTTACCTATAATTAGTATATAATGTATATGGTTAATTTTGGAGAACAAATTGCTCTGAACCAATCGAAATAACTTGGAAATTTGTACAGTATAGTTAATTAGCAGTAAGTAAAAAAGCTCGGTCTTCAAAGTTTTGCAATGACTCTTAAATGAATTCCCCTTTACGTCAAAAAAATAAAAAACACCCTTATTAGTGTAAAACTACCAAATCTTCAAAATATTTCTAATTAAATATGTATTTTCAATATTACATAATATATTAATTATTAAATTAATATAAATTATAAAAAATTAGTTAGGTAAAATTTTATATCAGTATAAAAAAATTAAAGGACAATTATTGTCACTTAATACATGATTTATCCAGTCATGCACACTTACATTTTGTCTAGATGGAGAGTAAGACAAGGGAGAAAATTAAGATGGAAAAGAAAAAGAAAAGAATGAAAGATAAATAAAATAGACTGTGTTGTTTGAACATATCAAAATAAGATAAAAAAAATATTTAAATGAATAAGAGAGAAAGTTAAAAAAAATGAAATAAATTTTTTAATGATTAAAAGATTAATCTAACTTAAAATAAATTAAATATGAAAAAAATATTCAACAATATTAGTTGATTTTTTAACAAATTCTTGTTGGCTGCAATAACTCTCTTATTATGTTTCTTATCATGTAGTGTGTGTTCTTTTTACAAAGGAGTATTAGACAAATAGATCATCTTTCCTTTTACCTTTTTGTTTTTTACATGAAAAAACTTTTTTCATTGATAAATCAAAAAGTGAAAGAGAGGTTATGGAAACATATTTACTTATCTAAGTATAACCTTAATATCACTCTTTTTTTTCATTTGCTAATGATGTTTTTCTTTTATGTAAAGCTAAAAACATTTAGTCCAAAATATTATACAATGATGCAAAAATTTTGTGATGCCTTTGTTCTAAAGATCAACTTTGACAAATTCAAAGCAATATGATCGAAAGAGGTCTCTCACCAAAAGCATGATATTTTATAAGGTTTCAGTTGAGAACCTAAAGAAGGTAGATTGAATAGAACAATTTTTACTTCTTTAGTCGAGAAAATTCACAAAAGGGTTATAATTTAGAAAGAGAAACTATTTAATCAAATTCGTAAACTATGTTTGGTAAAATTTGTCTTAACTTCTATTCTCATTTATCCCATGCAATTTTTATGGCTACCTCAATGTGTGCGTCATGATATCAATAAGGTAGTTAGAGATTTATTTGGTCTTTTAATAATTCAAATTGTAGCACTCATCTAATTGGCTGCCGAAGAAACAAAGTGGCTTGGATATTCATGATATGTGAATGATTAATACCTCTATTATAGATAAATTGGTATAAGATATTTTACAGGATAAATTCAAATTATGGGTATAAATCATGAAGGCTAAATATATGAAAGAAAATCCACTATGCATTATTCAACCAAGACCAAAGGACTCTTTACTCTTTAGAAAAGCATTCTAAAGGTCTATAGCATTTTAAGAGATGTTTTTAAGTTCTAACTAAATTATGATTCTTCTTCGATATGGTAATCTAATTAGATTGGACTTGGTCTAATTGCTAACTTAGTTGATTTTGTTCACATTTCATATACAAACCTCCAAGTTAGTTATTCATAGCATTTGAAAATTGGAACAACTCACCACCTATATTTCACAACACATTAAAGACCATATACACTAGTCTTCTGGGCTAATAGACAGAAATATTGAAGGTAAGTGATATTAGAGAAGTATAAAAGAAACTTATTCTACAAAGACAATTTATGCTTCTAGAAGTTACTAATAACGAAGAAAATTATATTTTTTATTTGACTTATTGGTAGTAGATTTTTGTCTAATAATGCTTTGAGTTTACTTACTCAAGCTCTTGTCCTAAGTATTCACATGAGCTTCTCATAAATTGTCTTTATTCTAAAGAAGTTTGATTTTGCTTGAAAGAGCCATTTGTATACTATAATTTTCATGATCCTACTACTATTTGGATTATTAACTGTATTTCTCATTTATCCATTTTTTGTGACTTTACCATTGGAGGAATAATAAACTATTCAATGAAGATAAATGAAATATCTATCATGTTTTAAATTTTATTAGTTAATCTAAAAAAAACCATTTAAGTTAGCTCTCAAACTCACCTTTTTTTAGGAGTTGTCATGAGATTTACCATCTTTTGAGTACTATAAGATTGATATGGACTATAGTTGTTGGATGAACTACATCAGGTGTATTAGTGCGTATACGAGACTATAATGATAAATGTTAACAAAATTTACTTATTTTAATGGTAATAAGTCTACTCTCTATACTAAATAGAAAACAATCTTTTAGAATCTTTAGTTGAACATATTAAAAAATTATTATAAGTGATTTTAGAATATGATTATTTTAAAATGATGAACCTTATTATAAAATAATAAAAATTGATTTCTCTTAATG